CCATGTAGCTGTACTGGACTCAGTCCAGTGGAGGCCTTGGTAGCTGTGGACAGTTAGTCCTTCGGACTAATCTTTTCCTTGTATCCTGTTCTCTTAATTCTCCCTTGCTCCCGAAAGGATGAGACCAGTGGAGTATCTGAGATGGTAACAATCTCTTTTTAATAAAGGTTCCCCTTAATTATTAGTATAATATATGGGGTCACCATGAGTAGGAGCCAACTGATGGCAACTAACAATAATTACAGTAATATAAACATATTATTGCCCACACACCTGTCAGTTTGTTGTACTGTGGTGGCTTGTGTGTTGCTGTGATGTGGTAAGCTATGCCACCGGTATTTGAAATACCAGCAGGGTCACCAATAGTGGACAGGTTTCAGTGGAGCTTCCAGACTAAGACAGACTAGAAAAGACCTGGTAGTCTACTTCTGAAAAAAATTGACCAGTGAAAACCTATGAATAACAGCAGAACATTGTCTGGTATAGTGCCAGAAGATGAGCCTCTCAATTTGGAAGGCACTCAAAAGATGACTAGGGAAGAGCTGCTCCCTGAAAGTTGAGTAGACCTTAATGACGTGGATGGAGTAAAGCCTTTGGGACCTTCATTTGCTGAGGTGGCAAAATTCAAAATGAGAAGAAACAGCTGCAAACATCCATTAATAATTGGAACGTGGAACATATGATATGATCTAGGAAAATTGGAAGTCATCAAAAATGAAATGGATGGCGTAAAGATTGGTATCCCAGGTATTAGTGAGCAAAATGGACTGGTAATGGCCATTTTGAATCACAATCATATGGCCTACTATGCCAAGAATGACAAATTGAAGAGGAATAGCATTGTCATTCGTTGTCAAAAGGAATATCTCAAGATCTATACTGAAGTACAACACTCACTGATAGAATAATATCTATACACCTACAAGGAAGACCAATTAATACAACTATTATTCAAATTTATGCACCAATCACTAATGCCAAAGTTGAGGAAATTAAAGATTTTTACCAACTTCTGCAGTCTGAAATTGATCAAACATGCAATCAAGATGCATTGATAATTACTGGTGATTGAAATGCTAAAGTTGGAAACGACGAATTGTTAGCTGGAAAATATGGCCCCGGTGATAGAAATGACACCAGAGATCACATGATAGAATTTGTAATACCAATGACTTCTTCATTGCAAATACCTTTTTTCAACAATATAGACAGCAACTATACATGTGGACATACATACGAATCAAATGGACTACATCTGTGGAAAGAGATGATGGAAAAACTTAATATCATCAGTCAGAACAAGGCCAGGGACTGACTGAAGAACAGACCATAAATTCCTCCTGTGCAAGTTTCAAGTTGAAGCTCAAGAAAATCAGGGCAAGCTGGTGAGAGCCAAAATGCAACGTTGAGTATATCCTACCTGAATTTAGAGACCATCTCAAGAATAGGTTTGACTTATTGAACACTGACCAAAGACCAGATGAGTTGTGGAATGACATCAAGGACGTCATACCTGAAGAAAACAAAATGTAATTAAAAAGACAGGAAAGAAAGAAAAAATCAAACTGGATGTCTGAAGATACTCTGAAACTTGCTCTTGAAGGTAGAGTAGCTAAAGCAAACAAAAGAAATGATAAAGTAAAAGAGCTGAATAGAAGATTTGAAAGGGCAGCTCCAGGAAACAAAGTAAAGTGTTATAATGATATGTGCAAAGGCCCGAAGTTAGAAAACCTAAAGGGAAGAACACAATTGACATTTCTCAAGCTGAAAGAAGTGAAGAAAAAATTCAAGACTTGATTTGCAATAGTGAAGGATTCTACAGGGAAAATACTGAACAATGCAGGAACCATCACAAGAAAATGGAAGGACTACACAGTCGCTGCACCAAAAATAATTGATTGACAGTCATCCATTTCAGGAGGTAGCATATGATCAAGAACCGTTGGTGCTGAAGAAAGAAGTCCAAGCCGCACTGAAGGAAATGGTGAAAAGCAAGGTTCCAGGAACTGACAGAATACCAACTGAGATGTTTCAACAAATGGATGCAACTCTGGAGGTGTTCACTCATCTATGTCAAGAAATTTAGAGGACAGCTTCCTGGCCAACCAACTGGAAGAGATCCATATTTCTGCCCATTCCAAAGAAAGGTGTTCCAACAAAATGCGGAAATTATCGAACAATATCATTAATATCAAACTCAAGTAAAATTTTGCTGAAGATCATTCAAAAGTGGCTATAGCAGTACATCAACAGGGAACTGCCAGAAGTTCAAGCCAGATTCAGAAGAGAACGTGGAACAAGGGATATCATTTTTGATGCCAGATGGATCTTGGCTGAAAGCAGAGAATACCAGAAAGATGTTTACCTGTGTTTTATTGACTATACAAAGGTATTCGACTATGTGGATCATAATAAATTATGGATAACATTGCAAAGAATGGGAATTCCAGAACACTTAATTGTGATCACGTGAAACCTGTACATAGACTGAAAGACATCGTTCGAACGGAACAAGGGGATATTGTGTGGTTTAAAGTCAAGAAATGTGTGCATCAGGGTTGTATCTTTTCAGCATACTTTTCAATCTGTATGCTTAGCAAATAATCTGAGAAGCTGGACTGTATGAAGAAGAACATGGCAGAGGGATTGGAGGAAGATGCATTAATAACCTGTGATATGCAGATGACACAACCTTGCTTGCTGAAAATGAAGAGGACTTGAAGCACTTACTGATGAAGATCAAACACCACAGCTTTCAGCATGGATTGCATGTCAACATAAAGAAAACAAAAATCCTCACAACTGGGACAATAAGCAACATCATAATAAATGGAGAAAAGGTTGAAGTTTTCAAGAATTTCATTTTACTTGGATCCACGGTCAAAGCCCATGGAAGCAGCAGTCAAGAAATCAGAACACTTATTGTGTTGGGAAAATCTGCTTCAAAAGACCTCTTTAAAGTGTTGAAAATCAAGGATGTCACTCTGAGGATTAAGGTACGGCTGACCCAAGCCATTGTATTTTCAATTCCCTCATATACATGGGAAAGCTAGACACTGAATAAGGAACACTGAAGAAGATTTGATGCCTTTGAATTATGGTGTTGAGGAAGAATACACCATGGACTAACAGAAGAACGAACAAATGTGTCTTGGCAGAAGTACAGCCAGAAGCAAGGATGGTGAGACTTGGTGTCACTTACTTTGGACGTGTTATCAGGAGGGACCTGTCCCTGGAAAAGGACATCATATTTGGTAAAGTGGAGGGGCATCAAAAAAGAGGAAGACCCTCAGCAAAATGGATTGACTCAGTGGCTACAACAGTGGGCTCAAACACAGCAAAGATTGTGAGGATAGCACAGGACCAGACAGTGTTTCATTCTCTTGTACATAGGGACCTAACATGACACAGACACATTATGAAGGGCCCTGGTGGTGCAGTGGTTAAAATGCTCAGCTGTTAGCCGATAGATCGGTGGTTCGAACGCAGCAGCCACTCCTTGGAAGGAAGGTATGGTAGTCTGCTTCCATGAAGATTTACAGTCTTGGAAACCCTGTGGGGCAGTTCTACTCTATCGTTAGGGTCTCTATGAGTCAGAATGGACTTGGACGAAACAGGTTTGGGATATGGAGTCGTGCTAATTAAGAGAAAGATTTGAGTGGGGAGCCAGTGAGAACACTGGCTGTATGGGCAACATTGGAATCAAGCTATGGGAGGAAGGTGTATGAAAGAAAGACATTTTGTTCTTAGCATATTTCCCTAGGGTTCTAGGAATGGCAAGTATATCAGCCAGAGTTCTGGCTACATATAAATGACACATGCTAAATGATAATTTAAGAGACATTAATAAGGGAAAATTTGCAAAGGCATGGGCAGGGTTTTAGAAAAACTGCAAGGGCTAATGCAGTGCCCCAGTAATAGTAACAGCTCAGAGCCATTAATACTCCTGAATGGGCAATGTAAGGAAGCTGTTCTTAGAGCCTGAAGTTATTAGCTGCATAGATAAGGCTGTGAAACTGAAGAGGGTAGCATGTATATAACCTTTATAGTGTACCTCAAGGGCTTCAGTCAAATACTTCGGTTTGTTCTTTATTGTTCCCATTGGAGTCACAATTCTGGGGCTGGCTAACCATGATTCTATTGGCACAATGTGACAGTTTTTCTCTTGTTGCATTACAGATAGATTTGAGAATTACAGTTCCTTTAGGGTAACTGAGATCATTTCATTATTTTTTTCTCTCCCTTTGTTTTGTTTCCCAGCAATGACTTCTTTCTCAGAGATGGTGTCTCTGGCGGCTGTGCTGCTTTCATCCTTCCCTGCAAATGGACAGGTATGGTTAAGGTTGGAAATCTTTTCAGAACGATCCAGGCCACTTTGAGGGATGGCAAGCCACTAGATCAGCCTTCAAGAGTGAAAGAGCCTAGAGTGTTGGGTATATCACAAAGCACTCATTGGTAGCTCAGGGCACTTAAAACGATTACCTGGATGAAAGTATAAAGCTATGCTGACCAATAGATAGCTAATGAGGCTAATGAACACTTGAAAAGTGGTTAGTCCAAACTGAGGTGTGCATAAATGAAAGAAAATAAATACCAGATTTCAAAGGCTTAGTACAAAAAAAAAGGAGGGAAAATGTTTCCTTCATAATTCAAATATTGAGTATATAATGGAATTATAATATTTTGGATATATTAAACCAAAAACCTGTTGCCATAGAGTCAATTCTGACTCATAGAGACCCTACAGGACAGAGTAGAACTGCCCTATAGGGTTTCCAAGGAGCATCTGGTAGATTTGAACTGCCAACCTTTTGGTTAGCAGCTGAGCTCTTAACCACTGCACCACCAGGGTTCCTTGGATATATGAGTTACATAAAATAGATTAGTAATATTAACTTCATCTGTTTCTTTAAGTGGCCACCAAAAAATTATATTACATATGATGCTTGCATCATACTTCTGTTGGACAGCACTGGTTTACAGATTTGAAAAGCTAATGACACTGCCCCTACCACAAGGCATTTCTTTTTTTTTTATTTAATCCATTTTAATGAGATATCACAGAAAATTGACAATAACCACCTCACATATTTATATATTTCTTAAAATTAACACAAATTCTTCACATCCAATACAACATCATATTTCCATATTTATTGTGTGAGAATAATTACACATGCTTTCTAAATGAAAAAAATCAAATGTTAAGTGGTTTTTTTTTTTTTTCATAGTCTTACAATTAGTATGTACAGGGGCCAGATACTCTAATTATTTCTAATGTTCGATTTTGATTTAATAATACTAGGAATAGGGTCACTCTTACTCTTCCTCTTCCAGTAGGTGCCCACATAAGTTGTGTATTTCCTGTACAGATAGCCTATAAATGTTAAGAGTTTTGGTGATTGCTATCTGTGCCCACACCCTCATTTAGCTCTGGGTTTACCAGGTTAACTAGGAACCCTCAGACCAGAGAACTCAGATACTGGATTCAAATCTCACTTGGCATTCAGAAGTATATTCATTATGTTACCATAATCAAATTTCCAATCTAGAGACAATTTATTCAACAATCCATTATCTGAAGGTTCATCATCTGAGGATTCATTCAAGTAGTTTATTGTCTTTCTAACTCCATTCCCAAATACAGAGTTTCTTTCACATCCCTTTCCAATCCCCTGTTGATTGTCTGGTCCTACTGCTGGTCTTCATTTATAAAATTATTAAAAAGTGAGATGTCATTTGGTCTTTGGCACCATACAATGTTTACTAATGAGATGCTCTACAGACTCACTGTCCAGAAAAGCTTGTTCTACACATTCTTAGATGCTGCACTCCCATCCAGAATGATCTTTTATGAAGTCTTTTCTGATCTCAAGAAAGAAGAATTGATCCCTCTTTCTTCTATATCTGGAGCCCTGGTGGTGCAGTGGTTAATCATTCAGCTGCTAACTGAAAGGTCAGCAGTTCGAATCCCCCAGCCGCTCCTTGGAAACGCTGTGGGGCAGTTCCACTCTGTCCTATAGGGTCACTAGGAGTCAGGATCCACTCGATGGCAATGGGTAGTGGGTTTATATCTAGTAGGTCACTCCTATCATTGTAGTTTCAGGTGGTATTTTAATTATTTATTTATAATGTCATCTTTCCTAGAAGATGTAAACTCTTTAAGGACAGATACTGCATTTTATGCATTCTATTCTCAAAACTTTGTATATTTTCTGTCACCTAATAAAAGCTTTATTGATACTTGTAAAAAATAAATAAACAAATGTATCTTTTCAGTAGGATTTTTATCTACAAAACAAGATGAAGAAAGAAGCAGGAAATAATTACTTCTCCTTTCTCAGGAACTGACTTTTTATGTGTTTTGAACTGGAACTACTTCAAGCAGGATTGGAGAGTCCATAGAAAATATCCGGGTCATGTTATTTTACATTTTAATGTAGTGCAGATATTAGCCACTACTGATACTTAACATGTACATCCCTTCTGACCTAGAGGTCATTAGTTCAGAATGTGTTGAATCCTGTAGGTACAATGGCATTTACTATCGGTTACTTTCCTTAGAAACATACAACCAGGAGGGTGAAATGAACACATCAGTAAATAACAGCAATAAAATGTGATCAGATCTATTGTCTTAGTTTCTTAGTGCTGCTATAACAGAAAAACCACAAGTGGGTGGCTTCAACGAATAGAAATTTATTTTTCCATAGTTTAGGAGGCTAGAAGTCCAAATTCAGCACACTGGCCCTAGGGGAAGTCTCTCTCTGTCCACTCTGGGGAAAAATTCTTGTCTCAGCTTCTCTAGAGACAATATTTGGAGAGCACTGAGTAAACTGAAAAGGGAGAGGGGAGTAACTTACAACAAGGTGTCAGGGAAAATCTACAAGGAGCTATGTTTAGACCTAAACATTGACTTCTAAAACCTTGCTCATCCACATGTATCATCACACTCTTGTATAGATTTTAATAAGCAGATTTCTTTATCTTTTTCTCAACAATTTACACATCCTATCCCACCTTTCGGGCCCCCATCACATGCAAAAAAATAAAAATTATCAGCACCTGATTTAATACCTTACCAGTAACATCTTTATTAATAAAAAGACAAAGTCATAATAACCCATGATTGGATGTCCTTGTTCCCAACAAATTGCCTTGGCGTTTTTTTTTTTTTTTTTTTTTTTAATATTGTAAAACTATCCTTTTAGCAACCCCCATGAAATCTGCCCATACTATATAGTACCGTTTTGCTAGAGTATTGAATGCTAGCGATACACTTGGACAGGGCCTAAGCATTAATTCTCTAAATACCAGACACCATGTCAGGTGAAGTTCCCTTTAAATTCTAGGATGAATCATTCCACACCATGCTTACCATCCCCTTGCTGCAAGCTTATCCAGTGTGAAGGCGTATTTCTTAATGGTTTGTGTAACAGTTGTGGTTATGTTAACATTGATATGTCTAGAAAAAAAGTCATATTAAGACCTCATTTGAAGCCAGAAATTGAGATATGTTGCCTTTGGGGAGTAATTAATTTAATTATATCATGAATCACATCCCCACTCTCAACGTTTAACACTATTTCTTTCCTATTCAGAAATTATAACTTTGGCTCAGCTTATAAGCATAGCAACTAATATTGGCTTCAACTAAACACTTTTTAAAATGACCTTTGTCCCAAAAATAATTCTTTGTTATTTCCCTTTAGGATCCAGATTTTGCTTATTTGTCAACCCAACTAACCCAAGTCCAAATGGAGATTGTAAATAAACACAACGAACTAAGGACAGGAGTCTCTCCAGAAGCCAGCGACATGCTGAAGATGGTAAGAGGCAATAATATAAGGCTAGTGGTGACATGAACCAAGTGTGATAAGAGCAGGCATTTGGCAACAAACATACCTCAAGAACTTTGTGACTTATAAAGTTCTGCCTCCTTTTTGTTATTTTATTTGAGCTATATTATGAACAGGGCAGTAATTCTTAATTTTACTTTATAGATAGTGAAATAACTTGTCCGGTTACAGGGCTGTGAAGTTGGGAAGCAGAATTAAAATCAAATCTTTGGACCTCCAGTGAGAAGCTATTACATTTTTCTGTTCACTCACTCTCTTAATCTAAGATTAAAAAGACCCTTTTCCATATAGGGAAATAGCAACTCATTTTCCTAGACCCACTACCAAAGTCCATGAACTTTGTCCCCCCAGTGTATTCAGTGGAGAAAAAAGGAACTGAGAATGACCTAGGCCAACTCATCACTATTGGAACAAACAACCACAATACCTCCATTTGTTTATAAGTAGGATTTAGAGTAGGACCATGACTAAAAATCCTTATGTGTAGACATATTACCTATGTTTATTTATGGAGCAGATAAAGACACACCAAAAGAATTGTTTTGATTATGATAATAATCAGAAGCAGCTTCCTTAGAAATTTTATGATGATATAAATCAACCTGCCAATCTGAATATATGGCATAAACTCCTTGCTGGTTTGAGTTATTAACTGCATACCTTTTTCACCCTTGTTTTAGGAATGGGACAATGAAGCAGCAGCAAATGCCCAAAACTGGGCAGACAAGTGCATTTATAAACACAGTGACCCACAGAAACGAAGAACCAGTATGTGATAAGTATTTGTTGAATAAAATAAACAAGTAAAATAATAAGGGAACACTCTATGCTGTTGCATTAAGAAAACTGTGTGAATAAATGCTACTTATTATACAGGTCATGTATCATCTCTTTCCCCATTTTAAAGATTAGAAAATGGGCCCCTGGTAGGAAAATGACTGGCAAGAACAGGCCTGGCAATTAGAGTCATATACAGGAAATTGGCCATCAGGCTTTCTGACTTCTAAACTAGTGACCTTTGCATAATATTAGGTGTTTTAAAATTTTTTTTTATGTTTATTACTTTGTGTTTTAAAAGCTACCTGTTTTTTTGTTCATAGAACATGTTGAATTTTGTTGCACGGTTCCTAAATTTTACTATAAATATATTTAACTTTTTTTTAATCAAAATTAGCTTTTATTTTTACAATTTCCTTATTAATCCTTGATAATAAAAATCAAGTCTTTTGTTCTGGGTGCCTACAATGCATGTAATACTATTATTATACTCAAAAATAACCTATAAGGTATGACCTCTGTGATAAAGGAATATAAAAACAGTAAGTGGCAAAATGCTCCATGCATGAACTATTAGATAAAATATTTGCTTTCATTATCAAAAATGATATACCGAAAAACCAAACCTGTTGCCGTTGAGCCAATTCAGACTCATAGTGACCCTATAGGACAAAATAGAACTGCCCCACAGAGTTTCCAAGGAGCAGCTGATGGATTCGAACTGCTGACCTTCTGGTTAGCAGCTGATCTCTTAACCACTGTGCCACCAGGGTTCCAATATACATATAGGCAAGTCCAATTTGAAAGTAGTAAATAACTCACCTGTTCTGAAGGTAGAAAGACTGCCGTTATTATATGTATTTTTGATACTATAATTATAATGAAATTATGAAGAGGGATGAGTGTATTTTGTAGAAGATCGGGGGAAAAAATGGTCTTGAAGATCCCAGTCTACTGTTAACTCTTACTTTCTTTCCCTCTTAAAGGAGGTATCCAAGAGTAGTCTATACTCTCTTTAAGCAGTGTGTAGTAGAATTCTCTCTTTCCGTGCGACAGACCAGGCTGGATTCCCAGCCAATGCACCTCATGTGCAGCTACCACTCATCTTTCAGTGGAGGCTTGTGTGTTGCTGTGATGCTGAACAGGTTTCAGTGAAGCTTTCAGACTAAGACAGACTAGGAAGAAAGTCCTGGTGATCTACTTCTGAAAATCAGTCAGTGAAAACCCTATGGATCACAATGGCCCAATCCTGTTGTGCACAGGGTTGCCATGATTCAGGAGCCGACTGGATGGCAGCTAACAACAACAACAAAGCAGTGTGTAGACATTACATTTCAAGCCACCCAAATGTAAATATCAATTGCAAGGCTTGGAAAAATGGGGAAATGTTTCTGGGCTGCAAGGTACTTCTTGCCTAATTTCCTAAGGAAGTTTTGGCCTTGTGATATTCTGATTTGGTAATTAAGGGGATATCTATAAGTTTTGAAAAATGTTCTGCTTGTCATTTGCTCAGAGTCTTATAAACTGACTCCAAAGCTTTGTATCAAAGTTCACATAAAATTATAATAATAAATATTTATTCTGGTCTCTATATGTGAAAAAAATCTTGATGAGGATGGGCAACAGCAGGAGAGAAAGTAGAAGAGTTGGTCTGTGCCCTCAACAAGGTTACAATGCAAAGTTGAGAGCACACAAGGCCTACACACATGCACCATTTAACTTGTAAGTGAATGCATCTCTGACAGTTCAGGGGAATGGAATTTTTAAACCAAAGAGGACTGCCTCAGCTACTCAAAGTTTTCCATGCTGAAGCCAGCCTGAATGTTAGCCACCACTGGCTTCTATTCAGTTTATGACTGATAAGGATCTGAGAAAGACTTCCTTAGGTACCAACAGTTAGCAACTCCAGAACCCATGTTTGAAGGTTGGTGGCTCTTTGTGTTTACGTAGTTGATTTATTCTGCCATTGCATACTTTTTTGTTCCTCATGAATGATCTACTCCTCTTAGATGTGAGCTGTGGTGAGAATCTCTTTATGTCAAGTGCCCCTACTTCATGGTCAAGTGGAATCCAAAACTGGTATGATGAGGAGCGTGATTTTGTCTATGGTGTAGGACCAAAGAGTCCCAATGCAGTTGTTGGACATTATACTCAGGTAAGAAAAACAAATGAAAATTTTTATGACACAAATGCCCGAAAAAGAAATTTTCTCCGAATTTTGGCTGATTCCAATATTCAGTTTGGGGGGGTGATCTTCAGCAGATAAATAATAGTCCTAGTATTTAGTGGGTACTTTAGCTATCAGAATAAACTCAATGGCAACGGGTTTGGTTTTTTCAATGGGTTTTTAGCTATGAGCTGTCATTGTCAATAGCCTGCAAACTCTTTGTAGTGAAGCACACTCTGTATTTTTTTTTAACAATCTAAATAGAAAAAGTAGTGAATATACATAGATATTTTATATTTTTAAAAGTTTTTGATTCAATAGTTTAAATATTTCTATAAAGTATATGGCAACAAGCTACATCACTAATGTTGCTTTCAGTTATATACTTGCTACTATTTGTTTATTGATACTTTTCTTCTTCTCTATTGTACTTTCATATCTTCATTTGTGGTATGTAGGTTGTTTGGTCCACATCTTTCCGTGTTGGATGTGGAATTGGATACTGTCCTGATCAAAGCACATTCAAATACTACTATGTTTGTCACTATTGTCCTGCGTAAGTATATACTTTAGAGTTTAATGCCAGTGATGCCATCTAAAATTTTTCACATGATAAACAAATCAGAATATAAAGCATGTTTCAGTAAAAGAGGGGGACCACTGTAAATGTTTTCTAAAGCTGAGACACTTTCGATTTCTAAGAAAGACAAACTTCTCAGTTCCAAGTGTAAAATTCAAAGCTCTCTTTCCTCATGTCTAAAAGGATTATTTTCTTTCTCAATCACCTTTCCTTAGCCTCAGGGTTATTCCGTGAACATGTGCAGTGTGCAATTCTCGATATTTGGTATAATAAATTCTTGCTACATTCACACTCTAGAGTATGGAAGCTTGATGGTTAGGCCAGGATTAGGGTGGGGTAGCAAATAGGGAATGACATAGTGTAGTGGTTCCAGCCCTTTCTGCTCACATGTTCCTACTCCTGCTTATCTAAAAATGCTACACTATTGCCATTAGAAATGATTACATCTTGGGCCTCAAAGACTTTTCAAAAAATTCTTAATATATTTCAAATAGTCCAGAAAAAAGAAACCTCATAAGTCTTTGCTTCTCAGAATTTTTTAAAAGAAAACTCCATAATGAACCATACACTAAGTTCTTAATTTATAGCTGGAAGCATGGCACTCTCAAGCAATGTGTTTGAATTTATCCACTATAAATCTTATGGATATTTTGAAGATACGTGCATAATGTATCTGTTAGTTTTGATTTTTTAAAGTTTCAAATTTCTTTCCATGGGAGGCAGGTAAGACTTCCAAAACCAAGCTTCCTATCTGATCTAATTTGGGGCTGTAGATAACCCAGGGGATATGGTTATCCACTTTGAGAAGTATAACCTTCACAGTCATTTTTCAGCAAGCACTTATTGGGTTTAATAGAAAGAATTGAATGACCCTAGGAGAATGCATGCAAATTCAATACCTGGCTGTGAGAGAGGGCCAGGCATTGAAGTGAGAGATGGAAGGAATAGTGAGGAAAAGCAAAGGTAAGAGAACTTTCAGAACACATTTATATCTATTTCACATTATTTTCTATACTACAAACTCTTGGCCTCCAGGAGCTTCTCCTGTCTCTCAGGGTGTGGTCCACCACTAGCCAATGCCTTGGTGTATACTTCCTTAGCAATTTGACCTAGTCTACTGGGCAGCAAAGATGGTGTTGCTCCATTGAACATATATATATGTATACTCTGAAAATGTGAGACACTAGTTATCCTGCTGCATTGTTCAGCCGGTGGAATTATAATAGTCAAGGAGATAAGTGAATGTGTGAAGTATTCGCTTACTTTGAATTGTTATCTAAATTACACATTAGGAATGTTTGTTTGTTTTTTAGTTATTTAACATAATTAAAAACACTGAGTAAACACACATGTATATTTGTTGACAGATATTATCCTTGAAACATAAACTAAAGAGAAAAGTGAAAAATATTTGACATTTTGTATTTCAAATTACAGCGGTAATTATATAAATAGACTGTATACCCCTTACAAAAAAGGACCACGCTGTTCCAGTTGCCCTGATTACTGTGACAATGGACTATGCAGTAAGTTTCCAATAATTAACTAGCTATTTTAATAAAATGATGTGATTTTTTTTATTAAGAAATCTTATGAAAGTAACCAGTTTGAGTAATGCTTTTATGCAAAAGACAAAAAACATTACCCAACAGAGTGTGTCTAAGCAAAAATTTTACTCCATTCACTATCTAGTATTATTTTCAATGAAAATCATGTTACCATATGTAACCTAAAGAAGCATCTACCATCAATGTGTATTTGTGACTATGTTGAGTCCATTACGTATTGGCTTATATGAAAATGTATGTGGAAATAGTTAATTGTAATTAAATATAATGCTTCATTTCATCAAAGTTAGTTTCATTATACCAAACGTGATAATAAAAAAAAAGAAGAAAACATGTACAAATCTAAGTATATGAGGCTGTAAAACATGGCTTAATGTAGACAGACACAAAAAAATTACAATTCTTTTCATGCTAATGAGTTTATCATCTAAATTCCTCACTTTTCCCCATAGTGTAGTTAGCATCATAAGTTTAACTTAATAAATTTCACTTGCTAGTATTCTTATGTACTTGTGTAAATGATGTCAAAATCAAATCTGTATACAGTATTAGCTCTCAGAAGCCTCAAAAATATTTTAATAAAAAGAAGAGGTAAAATAAATAAAAATAAAATAAATAATATCTCATTTCCAAATGTTATGAATAAAAGTACAAATAGTTGATAGTTTTGTTTACTTGGGATATATTGATTAAAATTATTACAAACAATACTATTGACCTATTCACTGAGATTTTACCTTTCAAATGCATTCACCTAAAGTTAACATTCTTTCTGACTGAACTGTATAGGCATAATTCAGAACATCGATGATATCAACCTATAAACCAACTAAAGGAGAAAAAAGTAGTATGCAGAAATAAATGGATACAGAAATAATTGGATGGAATCTAGCTTGGAGACTGTTGAAAAACATGGGTTAAAAAAAGGATGGGAGTCTTTACTGCATTATTGGCAAAGCTAATGAAGAAAAATGGACAGCTTTGAGAGAGATAGGGAGAAGTGGTATAGCCAGTGTTTGTTAACTGTGCTTGCTGAGTGCTGGTAAAAAAAAAAGAGGGAAAGGAGTGTAGGTAGTTCTACTTCCTGGCTTCACTTCTGGCACCACCGGGGCTCCTTGCCATAAATAACTGACTAGTTGGGAGTCCCATTTCACTAAGATTGGCTGAATTGGGTGAGATTAGGAAGAGATACCAAAGAAATGTCAGGCTTGCAGATAAGATAATGAATTTAGTTTGAGATTTGTTGTGTTTGTGTCCTCTGTTGGACATCCAAGAGGAAATGTCAAAAAAAATCATAGGGACATTCATTCCACCTTTTACATTTTTGCATCTACATCTTTCCATAATAATAACTTACTCCACAAAGAAAGCCTAGTGGTATTAGAATTTAGAGCAACACTGTCCAATAAAACTTTCTGTGATGTTGGAAATGTCCCATATTTGTCCTGTAAAGTAGCCCCTACACACATTGGCTATTGAGCACTTGGAATATAATTAATGTGACTGAAGACATGAAATTTTATTTTACTTAAGTTTAAATTTAAATAAGCACATATGGTTAGTGGGTACATTTTGGGTAGCACAGTTCTAGAGATTCAATTACGTTCATTTTACTGAGTTCTGATTGAGAAAAGTAGTTCAGCTCATTTTAGAAACGCTTCAAAAATTTAAAATTTAAAATGAAGAGATGGATTAATCGTGGATGTAACGAAAAGCCTTTATGTTGTCTCAAGATACGAAATGGCCATCATAATGTAATGGTGCTAACTTCTTTCTCAACTGTTTTCTCCCCACTCACATTGAATTTATTGGTTGTGTTGCTGTTCTAGAGGAAAATGATGATGAGGTGACTAAATTCTTTGTTTTTATTCCAGCCAATGGTTGTGGTTATGAAGATGTCTATAGTAACTGTGAAACTCTGAAGAAGATGTTCACCTGTGCAAATGAATGGGTCAGAAACAGTTGCAAGGCCTCCTGCAACTGTGAGGGCAAAATTCATTAAATACCTGATATATACCGGGCAAGGCTAAGTGGAAAAGGGCTACCTCGTCTACTTAGATTTGACGTGTACTAGCAGGGAAACTGTAGGCAAGTTAGTTACAAATCTGATTCTAAACAATAATGGATCTTTTTCTCTTGTATTTGCTATTTTACTTTACAGAAATCTCCCACATACAAAGCATTTTAAAAAAGTTACATTAAGTTACAGTGACATCTTTGGATTTTGATATAAATTTAATGCTTTAAATTTAATGATTTGGATCAAGTTCATTATTCTGCAAGTTGTTTTTCTTTATGACTGTGGTCACTAAACTCTGAATTAGAACTGAGAATCATGTTCCTGAAGCAAAATTTATAAAAATAACAGACCGTAATAGCATTATCACATGAATCCTGGATTACAGTCCTCTTTCCAATTTATACTTTATAGCTAAACCTCTTCAAAGCAGCATTCACATATGCTGTCTTTAATTCCTTTTGTCTCATTTATCTTTCTTCCCATTCATCTGGCTCCCACCTTTGCAACTGAATTGACTCTGTTCTTCCTAACATAACATTGACCTTCATTTTGCCAAAAGCAGTGTAGACTTTTGATTCTTCACCTGCATAAATTTTACGGCAGAATATGGCAACACCTTCTTTTTAAACCTCTCTCTAAACAAAATCTTCTTTAAAGAAGAACTACAGATATGTGTGAATACTCTTCCCCCAAGGAATAGAACTTAGTCCCTCCGCCCCCTTTGAGTGTGGGCTGGTCTTGGTGACTCATTTCTACACAGTAGAGTATGGAAAGGGAACAATAGTAACTTTACAGTGGAGAAATCTGCAAAAGCCACCTTAAACAAGTGATCAAGGCTAACATCACCAATGATAAATCATGTGGATTCTTGTACATCCTGATGTGATTTGATTAGAAGGGCATTTAACCTCTGTAGTATTCTTTCTAAAAACTTAGAACCCCAAACTAACCATGAGGTAGAATACCAGACAAACTCAAATTGACATTCCTGACCAGTACTGCTCAAAACTGTGAAAATCATGAAAAACAAGGAAATTCTGAAAAACTGTCACAGACCAGAGGAGACTAAGGAGACACGATAATTGAATGTAGTGTGGTATCCGGGATTGCATCCTGGAACAGAAAAAGATCATTAGTAGAAAAATTGGTGAAATGTGAAAGGTCTGAAATTTTGTCAATAGCAATGTTGATCTTGGTTTTGAAAAATGTACCATGGTAATATAAGATGATAACATTCGGGTAAATTGAAACTGGGTGAGGAGAATGTAGGAACTCTCTCTACTATCTTTGCAAATTTTCTGTAAATCGAAAAATACTCCAAAATTAAAAGTATATTTCAAAAAAATAAAACTTTGTTTCTTGGCTTCATACACTACATACACTTCCTCTAGATTATCTGGTCATTCTTTCTCACTTTCTTTCCCCACAAACATCAACTCCTCTACTCCATTTCCAAATGTTTGATTTCTTTATTTTTTTCATGGGTTTTTCAGATAATGTCAATGACTGGATCATCAAGCTCAACTCACATGAATCATAGATCTTACCTCTAGTATCGAGCTTTACTAATAATTTCAAGAATATTGGATATTTGTAGTCATAAGATAAAGGAAAAGTAGCGAGAAGCCTAAGACTACCAATCAACAACCAGATTTTTTTTTTTTTTCCAGCTCGTCTCTTATTTCTGTTGTTTCTGTTATTAGCTGCAGTCGAGTTGGTTCCAACTCACAGCGACCCCTATGTACAACAGAACAAAACACTGTCTGGTCCTGCACCATTCTCATGATCATTGCTATGTTTGAGCCCATTGTTGCAGCCACTGTGTCAATCCATCTTATTGAGGGTCCTCCTCTTTTTCACTGACCCTTTACTTTGCCAAACACGATGTCCTATTCCATGGACTGGAACTGCCTGATAACGTGTCCAAAGTACATGACATGAAACCCTGCTATTCTCACTTCTAAGGAGCATCCTGGCTGTACTTCTTCCAAGACAGATTTGTTTATTCTTCTAGCAGTCATAGTATATTCAATATTTTTCTCCAACACCATAATTCAATGCAACAATTCTTCTTCAGTCTTCCTTATTCATTGTCCAGCTTTTGCACACATACGAAGAGATTGAAAATACCATGGATTGGGTCAGCCACACCTTAGTCCTCAAGGTGACATCTTTGCTTTTTAACACTTTGAAGATCTTTTGCAGCAGATTTGCCCAATGCGATATCTTGTTTGATTTCTTGACTGCTGCTTCCATGGGCATTGATTGTGGATTCAAGTAAAATGAAATCCTTGACAACTTCAATCTTTTCTTCATTTATCATAATGTTGCTTATTGGTCCAGTTGTGAGGATTTTTGTTTTCTTTATATTGAGGTGCAATCCATACTGAAGGCTGTAGTCTTTGATCGTCAGTAAGTACTTCAAGTCCTCTTCACTTTCAGCAAGCAAGGTTGTGTAATCTGAATATCGCAGGTTGTTAACGAGTCTTCCTCCAATCCTAATGCCGTGTTCTTCTTCATATAGTCCAGCTTCTCTGATTATTTACTCAACATACAGATTGAATAAGTATGGTGAAAGGGTACAACCCTGACACACACCTTTCCAGATTTTAAACCATGCAGTGTCTTGTTCTGTTCAAACAACTATCTCTTAGCCCATGTACAGGTTCTTCATGAACACAATTAAGTTTTCTAGAATTGCCATTCTTCACAATGTTATCCATAATTTGTTATGATCTACACGGTCAAATGCCTTTGCACAGTCACTGAAACATAGGTAAACATCTTTCTGGTATTCTCTGCTTTCAGCCAGGATCCATCTGACATCAGCAATGATATCCCTCATTCCACATCTTCTTCTGAATTCAGCTTGAATTTGCAGCAGTTCCTTGTTGTACTGCTGCAACCATTTTTGAATTATCTTCAGCATGATTTTACTTGCATGTGATATTAATGATATTGTTCTATAATTTCTGCATTCCTTTGGCTCACCTTTCTTTGGAATGGGCACCAATATGGATCTCTTCCAGTAAATTGGTCAGGAAGCTGTCTTCCAAATTTCTTGGCATAGATAAGTGAGTGCTTCTAGCATTGCATCCGTTTGTTGAAACATTTCAGTTGATAATCTGTCAATTCCTGGAGGCTTGTTTTTTGCCAGTGTCTTCCATGGAGCTTGGACTTCTTCCTCCAGTACCATTGGTTTTTTATCATATGCTACCTCTTGAAATGGTTGAACTTTTACCAAATTTTTTTGGTACAGTGACTCTGTATTCTTTCCATCTGATTTTGATGCTTCCTTCATCATTCATTTATTTGCCCATAGATCCCTATAATATTGCAACTTGAGGCTAATTTTTTTCTTTAGTACTTTTAACTTGAGAAATGCCAAGTGCGTTCTTCCCCTCTTATCTCTAAAATGATTTATTTCTAATTGATCTCCACTCAAAATTTTCAGTGGGCCTGTCAAGTACTTAGGATAATATCCAAACTCTTTAATCTGATCTGCAGAAGTTGAATGATCTTTTTTATTATACTTTTCTCTGCAGTCTCATCTCATTCCACTCTTCTTTGTTTCCTATGTTCCGAGTACTGTGATCTCATTAAATTTTCTCAACCTCCTCAATATTTTTCATACCTCCGGGCATTTGTGTTTGCTATTAACTCTGTCTATATGAGTCATCACTCTGTTTTTTGCTGGAATAGCTCCTTCACATTATTTTGGTCTCAAGAGAAATGCCATTTTATCCAAGAGTTCCCTTTGAGTAAACACCTAAAGAAGCTCCCTCCACTTTCAAGTTTCCTGTTATTTCCCTTCATAATAATCATCACAATATGAAATAATGTATTTAATTTTTTATTTACTTCATTCATTCCTGCATTTAACAAACATTTATAGAAGACAATTAGGGCGCAGGTATTTAATCAGGCACTTTGAAATAAAGTGATGAATAAGACAGACAAGAGTTCCTAACTTGATGGAGTTGTAGGGAAGAAAGAAAAACTATTCTACAGATAAAGATTTAACATGAGGAGCCCTTGTGCCACAGTAGTTAAAACATTTGGCTGCTAACTGAAAGGTGGACAGTTTAAACCCACCAGTGGGAGAAAGAGGTGGTAATCTGCTTCAGTAAAGATTTACAGCCTTGGAGTTCTGTAGGGCAGTTCTACTCGGTCCTATCAGGTCGCTGTGAGTTGAAACCCATTCGAAGACAATGAGTTTGGTTTAGTTATTTAACATGATGTCAGGAAATGATAAATGCAATGAGCTAAAATGGACGAGATAAGAGAATAATGGGAATTGATTGGGAAGGGAAATGCTAATTTAAATAGGATAGTCAAGTAAATCCTCTCTGACTTATCTGATATTGGACCAAGGACACAACAGAAGTAAAGGATCTAATGAGATGATCTAATGGGGAAGACTTTCAGGCTTTGAGACTGTTGAGTACCAAATTATTGCAGCAGGATTAAATCTGGCATATTTGAAGAAAGGCAGTAAGCCCAGTATGGCTGGAGTAGAGTGAACAAGGCAATGAGAATTTTGAGACTAAGTCACAGAGTTAGGCAGAAACCAAGATCACATGGTGCTTTTCTAGAAAAAGTAAAGAATTGGAATATTATTATAAGTTAGGTAGTAAGCCAGTAGAATATTTTGAAGAGCAGAGTGGCATGATGAGATCTATATTGTAAGGGGACAAGAGTAGAAGCAGGACACCAGTGAAAAAGCTATTGACTAGAAGAGGGGTTAAGTTAAATTGGACTAGAGTATAAACAATGGAGATCTGAGGCTTGGTCAAATTCAAATTCAGAATATTTTTGTTTATATCTTGAAAGACTTGTTTAGTTTTCTTTTTTCCAGTAAACTGTAAGATTTCTGAAGGTAAAATCATATCTTTTGTTCATTCTACTGCGAAAGATGCTATATACACTGATTAGCACATATTAGGTGCTCAGAAAATATTTTGGAAAGAAAGAATGGATTTAATAAAAAAATTATCTATGAGAAAAATTTTGTAGACATAATAATACCTATTATGTAGTTCTAGCCAAAAAATATCTTGACTCTAATTACACCTCTAGTTTCAAGAAATATGAAGACTAGAGAAACTAGTTAAACGATTCCAATTTCATGTGGAAATTATCAGAAAAAAGAAGTTGGAGCATTCTACAAGAAAACTTGAAAGGATGCTTCAAAAAATCAAGTCATGTAAACAAGTGGAGGACTGGTCTAGATTTAGAAAGATGAAAGAGACATAAAATGAGCGAACCTAGATTAGAAACAAAGGAGCCCTGGTGGTGCAGTGGTTAAGTGCTGGGCTGCTAACCAGAAGGTCACTGGTTTTGAACCCACCAGCAGCTCCAAGGGAGAAAGATGTGGCAGTCTGCTTCCATAAAGATTATGGCTTTGGAAATCCCATGCAGCACTCCTACTTTTTCCTGTAGGGTCTCTTTGAGACAGAAGCAACCTAATGGCACACAACAACTGTCTTAGGCTGGGTGCTCTAGAGAAGCAAAACCAGTAAAGCGTATAAATATATATAGAGAGAGATTTATATCAAGGAAATAGCTCGTGCAATTGTAGAGACTAAAATGTCCCAATTCCACAGATCAGAGTAGAGGTCTCTCCCAGTTCACGTAGCCGCAGAAGCTGGTGAACCCAAGGTTGGCAGGTCAGAGAGGGGCTCCCACTCACAGGCTGTGAAGGTCAATAAATTCCAAGATCAGCAGACAAGACTGCAAGGTTTCTCCTGATTCACATAGCTGCAGGGGCTGGTGAACCCAAGGTCAGCAGGTCGGGAACCAGACTCTTGCTCGCAGTCTGAGAAGTTCAACGAATTCCAGGATCAACAGGTTAACTGCTAGCTCAAGTCCCATGAACCGAAGGTGAGACAGCAAGAGGCAGCTGCTGAGTCTGGAACAAGACAAAATCCTTGGAAAGGCGAGCAGGCAGAAAGTAACCGGCAGAAGGTAGAGAGATGAAACTGAGAGGGCGGTGAGCTGCCACAGGCCCCGCCTCCACCAGTACCACTCGGCAGATTCCATCATGGGGGTGATCACAACATTATACAACTGCTAAAACACAGAGAATAATGGCCTGGCCAAGTTGACATACAATATTAACCATCACAACAACAGATAAGAACAAATAGAGAAATTTATAAATATAAACTGCCTATAATAGTAGAAAAGTGGTGTTGATTATTTTAGGAGTTTAAATAGCATTATGATTGTGTAGGAGAATATTTTGGTTATTAAAATATTCATTCTGAAGTATTTTGGTGTAAAAGATGATAATATCTACAGGTTACATTCAAATAATTTAGCCAAAAATAATTGCCCAGTAAGAATTCCTTTCATATTGTGGGGTTATAGTTAATCCTATTATATTACAAATTATTAGCTAAACTATAATTTGTGGTAACTGCTATCATAGATATTTTAGGA